CACACACACACACACACACACACACACACACACACACACACACACTCGGTCGCCCGTAGTAATTTTTCATAAGTGCAAAGCTTCGCTGAACCAAAGGTCACCATCCAAGCCACTAACAACTTCTGGCCGGCTCGCGGTTCTAAACCAGAGAAGCAAAGGCAACTATTTGTCAGCAGCTCTGACAGCTAAGTTCATTAAGGATTGAAATCTGATGAAATAAAAGTCGCCCAAATATTTACCTGCGGGCCGCGCTTGGCGCCCGCCGCGGGGCCGGGTCTGCGGGCGCGGGGGGACCCCCCTCGGCGGGCCGTGTTCTCGGGATCCCTGCACTTTCCAAGTCGGAGAGAGCCCTTTGCGTGGCAGATTAATGACGACTCCGTGTTTCTTAAGGGACGTGCTGAATTAATTATTTCGCCAATCACGTGGTCGCGACTTGTAGAAATCTATTCTTATCATCTTCCTCGCACTTTGAAAATTCTCCGGGTTATGAGCGGCCCTCCCCCGGCTGCCGCCGAGCCCCGGCCGCCCAGCCCGGCGTGGGGGGCAGGGAGGGCTCCCCAACATGGCGCCGTCTGCCGAGGGTCCGATTTACTGTACTGTACTCGGCGGGCTCAGCTATGGACTCGCTTCCTCCTCATCCCTGCCGGTGATTCAATACACACAGCGGTATTGATGTATTGGTGGGCACAGGAGGAGCCATTAACCAGAAGACGGGCAGAGGACAATCATAAAATGTGTCTGAATATTTAAACTTCTGTCTGCGCACTTATAAATACACATGTCCACGCGTCTGGGGCGAGCCCTTCCATATATTAAGGACATATGTCCTATTTTATGCATTCTACTCATTTCCTGTCTCCAGCAAGACACCCCCCCTATCTATTTTGGAACTCCTGTCGTGGGCCCCTCTTCAAAGCTGAGCCCAAGATGTGGGAAAGCCCTCATGATATAAACAGTGCATGGTACGTTTTATAGTAGAGAGTGTTTATTGTTGTCTGAGGGGCAAGAGGGATGCAAAGCAGGAGCAGTGTTGGTAACCCCAAAGGAGTTCAGCAGGCCCAGGAAAGTAGGAGTCTAAGAGGGGATGCCAGCCAGGTCAGGTCGGAGCAACCACCACCAGCCAGCCTCAGCTGGGCCCAGAACAAGCATTCACCCAGCCTCTGGAAAGTGGGAAGGTTTCTCACTTATCAGGAAGGCTTCCTCTGAAGGGGGTCTAAGGATTGGCTAGGACAGAAAGCCAGTTTGGAGCCCCCTAGTAGCTCAAGACGTTGCTTCTCTTTCAACAAATAATGCCCTCCACCCTGCAGCCTGGATCTGGCAGCAGGCTTTCCAATGCTCACAAAGTATAGTAGCCCAACTGGGAGTGGAAGGGAAGCATAGAACTGCTGGACCTTGAGTGGCTTAACTTTCACACCAAAGGCACCAAATAACTTGGTGTCGATTTCATTGCAGAAAACAATAAGATAAAGTGTTTGTAGTGAACGCTGGCTTTTTAGAAAACGTAAGTCTCTATCAAGGCACCAAACAGGAGGGAGATTTTACTACACCTTTTATTATTTCAAATATAGATCAATGAATTACATCAAAACTACAGGCAACAATTAATATAAATAATACTTTAATCAGTGGCAGTAAAACATGGTCAGTTCTGTTTGTAAAAAGCATCTTTGTGAGCAGACTTCAAGGGGCTGACTGACAACGTCATCTCACAACAAAAGGCTGCAGTGGACAAAGTGAGGTGGGAGCCAGAGGCACTCTGTTCTCAGCAAACATCCCACCCCTCAGCCCCAGTCACGACCCCGACGCAGGTTTTAAAACACCCAAACAAACACTTCTGGCTCATATTTGGGGGGGAACAAACTGGAAATAAATAACAGCAAATGGGGCCAGAGTCTTTCCACATCTTGCTTTCTCTAGAGTGCCTTCCCACATGGAGACTTCTTCCCTTCCCTTCCCTAGGTAACTAGGGTAGAGGGGGGGGGGAACCTACCCCTTTCCTGGTCCACTCTTTGGGGCCCAAATGGATACTAGGGTCCGAAGGGGACCTTAGGGCTGTCAACTGTTCTCCAGGCCCTGCACAACGCCATTAGCATTTCAAAAGACAATCCCTCCCAGCTGAAAGGAAGAGCTGAGACTTAAAACAAAGAACTTGTTTCTCAGATTAAGTTACTTTCCAAAGTAGTGGGGCTAAGTTTGAGAAGGAGCTGGTGTTTTCTTCTGGAAAGCACAGTCTTGGCTTTCCTTTGGGGCAGGAGGAAGGAGGGGTAGTATTTGGTCTGAAGCTGGATGAGTACCCAGAACTTCTGAGGAGAGGGGGAAAATCTACATGATAATCTCCATAGTAAGTATATAGTTGAATATTGTGAAAATATATACTCCCCCACCCCAAGGACGTGGTTCAATATATGCTTAGATTTGGCTTTTAGGAAAGAATCTTAGCAACTTTCCAATTGGCCCAGGGAGAGTGGCTCTTTTCAAATGCAATATCCAAAGACTGTCTCCATGTTAGAGGGAGGGGGAAAAAGAAGAGAAGGGTAGTTACAGTCCAAAAGGTTAAGGGTTTAGAGGTCAGTCCTCCCGGCTGAAATACAGCTAATCGAACAGAAAATTTGCCCTCTGGATGAACCTGATTCTGTAATTTAGCCGAACTTCAGTAAAATACCTTTTCAGCTTCTCGACGTGAGGGCGTCAGAAAAAAGACATCTTGACTATGTATGAACTCTGTGCTTTTTGTCATAGAAACAATGATGCAAATAATGCAGGAATATCCATCTTTAATATCCCGACGTGTTGATATTCAAGTATTGCCATGTGCAAGTCTGAGAACCAGGCTCACCCCAAGGAGGAACAAAGAGCCTTCCCCAGGGTCTAATACAAAAGACCCAGGCTTGGAAGATGCTTCAGAGAAGCAGGATTTCAGTTTAGGGGCTCCAGCTGAATGAATCCTTGCCCTCAGTTCTCAGGAGACACAGAACCAAAGACCAGGCCTTTCCATCCTCCACTTAAGTCTATTTTAAAAACAACCACCGAAACCTTCTAAAGTGTTCTGAAATACTGAAAACAGTAACAGCACTATTGATCTTATGGTTAAAATTTAGGTTTACCTCTCCCTCATTTCTTACTGGGGGGGACTGCAATCAGGGGGTTCTGTTTGGAGCCCAAGCTTTGGGGTTCAAGCTTTCAAAGACTTGTTTCATCTGAGTGTCTAAACTCTTGTCCACCTTTTACTCTTCCCTTCCTGATCCTTAAGGGTTAGCGTTTTAAGAGAAAAGAGACTTGAACTCTTCCCAGACATGGAATAAGAATAAATAAAGAACTAAACCATTTTTTTTCCTGTTGTTTGAGACTGTTTTAAAGTCACTGTCTTCAAGGTAAAGAAGTAGGCCTGAAAACTTCGGGACTTTTATCATTTCTGCTTCTAACTGATGTCTTGAGAAACACTTTAGGGGAAAAAAAACACTTCAAGGGAAATCTCTTTAAGATAAACTTTTGTGGACTTCCAGGGTCTATTAGTTTCTTTTTAAAAATAAGGCTTCCTTACCTACCCACTTTGTCTCTATGGCCAGCACCACCCCGGAAGAGGCCATACATTGAGTCCTATATAATCCTGCTATGTGGGAGTACTTGGAGCATTTGGAATCCCGTTGGAATAGAAAATTCAGACATTATCTGATGACCCAGGGCATATAGGTTTTGTTTTCTTTCCCCAGAGGAAAATATTGAACCATTTGTTTCTTTTTTTCCCCTTCTCTTTCTTCCAGCCACCCAGAACTGCTTGTAAACACAGGGCTTGGGCAAGCACATGTGGAAACGTATTTTCAAAACGCAGTTTTCCTGGATCCTTGCCTTCCCTCTGGAAGAGTTAAGGGCCTCCTACACATATTTCCAGGGTGGGTGGGTGGGAGGGAGGAGCTCAAAATCCGGAATAGGGCCAGAAGTGAGTCCACAGATTTCTAACTCAGTCCCCTGAAGCTCAGTCGCTTCCACTATCCTAAGGGTTTTTTGGCACACAGGTGTCAGGTATTTTCTGGAGTCCATTCCCCCAAACAAATAAATATTTAAGCAAATATAATCAAAACATAAAATAACCCGTTTCCACTTCCTCCTTGGATTTATTTCTTTGGGCATGGGCCACTGGGAGCAAAACATTTCTTATTATCACAGCAGAAATTCTATAGAGAACTCAGAAAGTTCTGAGGTTCTCGCTCAGCTCTCCTGCTGTGAAAGCACCCAACACTGGGTGCTGGCCTTCTGCCTCAACTCCCCCCACAGTTACTAAACCACACAGCTCCCTGGAGGGGTGGTGTGGAGGAGAATGTCCAGGCTCACACTGGGATAAAGCCTCCAACCTTCATTTGCAAATTCAAAATCCAACAGCAGAGATTTCATGAGTTTAATGACTCGCCAAGGTTTTATGTTCTCAGTAGCTCCTGCCATATGATAATATACTTAAAGAAGCCCGCCCACCCTCCCACCCCATCCCTTTAGGGAGGGGGCTGCCCTCGGGCAGGATGGTAACCTAGTCCGAGGGCGGCCTGTATGTCCCAGGTCCACCCCCACAGTACCTTAGAGCCCAGCGAGGTGACAGCAGGCCACGCCTGCACCCGCAGCTTCGCCTCAACCTGGCGTGCAGGGAGGGATGGGCCCAGGGTCCCCACTTCTATAAGGTCGTCAGGTCCGTGTGGTGGTCCTTGGCCATGGGCTGCAAATGCTGGCCGGGGGCAGCTGAAGAGGAGCAGGAAGATGAGGAAGAAGAAGAAGACCTGCCCTTGGTGTTGGGCAGTTTGTGGTCTTTTTTCCACTTCATCCTCCGGTTCTGGAACCAGATCTTGATCTGGCGCTCAGACAGACACAGGGTGTGAGCGATTTCAATCCGACGGCGTCTGGTCAGATACCTGTTAAAATGAAATTCCTTTTCCAGTTCTAGGACTTGCTGTCTGGTGTAGGCCGTCCGGGAACGCTTGGGCTCCCCGCCGGTGTAGTTGGGGTTCACTACGAGACAAAACAGACAGGACAGCCAGGTCAGAGCCCGGCCACTAGTTAGGCCCCTGACTTGCCTCTGCCCTCACTTCCTGGCGCGTCCCGCAGCCCTCGGCCCTCCCCGTGCTCCAAGCTTGCCTGCTTCCTCCCTCCCGCCCTCTCCCTAAGAACACACTCACGCCCACCCAACCTCTTCCACGCACCCACTCCCCAGGCTCACAGATCCTCAAAAGTGCTCCCTTCTCCCCGGCCCACCGAGAGCTCAGGATCTCCAACATTTTGGAAATGCCCTTCTCTCTGCTCTGCGTTCCCTCTGCTGTGGAAATGGAGTCCTCCCCCACCCCACCCCCATCCCCACCCCCTTTTGCGCCCACAGCCAAGCAGCCAGCCACATGGTCCCGGCCTGCTCCCTCAGCTATAAAAATTTATGGAGAGAGTAATTGCGGCGCCCAAGGAAGCTTCACAAGCCCCCACCCACTCGCACCCCCTCCGGAGGGGGGGTGCCCAGGCCAAAAGATGCGAGTAGGGGTGGGGGAGGGCTGAAAGGTCGCTGCACCCGCTCCTTACCCGAATTCACATGCACCTTCTTCATCCAGGGGTAGACCACAGCGGGCTGCTTAAGTGCTGTCCCGGGGGGTGGCTGCTTGGGGCCCGTGGGCTGGCTGCAGGCCCGGGCGCCAGGCAGGGGCGCAGGCGGGGGCGCCGGGCACGGCTCTCCCGGGGCACCGTAGTGACTTCCTGGGCCGCCTGGCTCCTGTCCGTGACCCCGCGCCGCCGGCAGCGCGGAGCCAGGCCCCGGCCCGCCGCCTCCGAAGGGTTGCTCACCGAAATCGGGCCGTGGGTAGAGCCCCGAGGGCTGGAAGTCGGCGCCCTGGGCGCCGCTGCCGTAGTAGTCGGCTCCCTGCTCGCCTAGGTAGCCACCCTGCAAATATTCCTCGCACGGAGGAAACTTGGGGTCCACGTACTTAGAGTTCACCATATACGAACTCATGGCCATTAATTTCAGAAGGTAGAAAATACTAATTTTTCTCGTGTTGTCTTTTTTTCTCCTTCCATTGGGCCCTCCTACTTGCTGTCAACTGAATAAAGTTGGGCGGCCATGTGACCAGGCCAGCCAATAGGAAGGGAGCGAGTTTATCACCGGGTTTGTGAGCATCTCATAATTTTCACAAATTTAACTAAATAACATACGTGTAATCAAGTGACTTGCCATGCCACGTTTGAGAGTCCCTGACAGATGTTAATAGAGTTCCAATTCTATCCCCAGAACCCTCTCCTCAGCAGGTCATCTCAGCTTTTGTTTTCCACTGACTTGGCTAACCTCCCATGCCCTCCTCACTACCACCGCCTGAGGCAGCCCCCAAAGTGGGCACAGTTCAAGGAAGAGTGAATTCTCCTATTGGGGTGCAAAATAAGGAAGAATGAGTGTGGGCAATGTGGCCTCTGAGTTGGGTAGAGAGTGTTCCAGGCAGGCAGCCTGCCCGGCCAGCTGGCGGGAGTCCTGGACTCTGACATACAAAGACCTGTCGCGGCTTTGTCTTCATCAGGGTCACCCAAAAGTTACCAGAATCTGGCGGACCAGAATTGAGCTAGGCAATGAGTAACCACTATGGTTTTCTGCCAATGTCCAGGCTGGGGTGTTTCTAGCTGATGTTGAGTCTTGCTGATAGAGCAGGAGGCCCTCACTGTCCTTGGTCTAGTAGCTGTGGATTGGGTCGGGTTGGGATGGTGGTAAAGGGACCTTAACCTTGCCTAAATGTACCCCAAAGGTCTCCAGTGGCCTTCCTTCCAGATTGTCTTCTTCCCACACAAGGGTTTTAAAACCAGGTGAGCCCTATTTGGGGACCCTTGCATCTCATGCTCCTGAAGGGGAGAGCTGCTGCTGGCCTTTCACCTCACTCCCCAGTGCCCTAAAACCTGGCCCTTACGCTCAGACAACCACTTAAGCACCTTCTGGAGCCTCTATTGATAAAGGTGGGGGGTTCTCCAGGAAAAGGCTGCACGATGTCACCAGGCAAAGTCCATCATCCTGGAGTCCAAGGTAATGAAGAAGATAGAGGTGGCTGGCCGGCTCGGCTGCCCCTCCTCTCATGCCTTAGTCTCTGGTTATGTCGGAGGAGACATATGAAGTTTTTGCATCGACCATATATTCCCCTAGAATCGAATCTGTGACTATGTGGGTACCACACAAATTCGGTTCTACAGGGTATATATAGACAACGTTACAACCTCGGGTCCTACCCAGAGCAGACACTCGGGCGGTTGCTAGCCCAGATCTCTTCAGCTCAGCCACCAGGAACTCCCCAAGCCCGGCTTTCAGAGGCAGCTCAGGTAGGCTCGGTGACCATTTGCAGCAGCGAGTGCCCTTATTCTCTTGCCAGGATCAGAACTACGGAGCAGCTGAGCAACCAGGACCTTCTTCTTAAAAAAGGAAAGGAAAGGAAAGGACGGGGGAAATTCTTTTCACCCCAGAGATGGCGGCTTTATTGCCCCCTTTCACAAGCCAAATCTCCCGCCCCCTTATCAAGTGGTATTTCCCAAAAAGAAGCAAAGGTCCTCAGCGGCAGGGAGTTTTGAAAAAGGCAAAAGGGGATCTTCTTCACCAATTCCTGAACCAGGTTGGTGGCCACCGCTAGTCCTCCCAGAATTCCAGCATTTACCTTCCTGGGCCCTCAGCTCCGCTGGACTTTCGGATCCCACTGCTGCTGCCGCTGCTGCTGCCGCTGCTGCTGCCGCTGCTCCCCGAGGCAGGCGCTGTTTGCGGCCACCGAGCCGCCCTGGGCTGAGACCGTCGCGCTAATGGTGAAGGGCAGGGCGAGGGGTCATTCGAAATCATTTACAAACATATCACAAAGTTTCATTATTTTTGCTTTGCCGACAGCAGCACAGAAGAGTACAAAAGTTCACGAATTTCGCCGCCCCAGCGCCTCCGCTGTCCTGGGCTTGCCCCTCAATTCAGGGCATCCAGAGCCCAGATGCACTCTGGGGCTGGCCTGATTTCAGGGGCAGAGGCATACCCTGTCCTGAGCCGAGTTTCTGGATGCCTGACAACAGGCTGAAGATGTCCACATTTCTAAGTATTGTTTTGATTCTTCCCCTATAATTCAAAAATCACTCTCAAGTTTTACACCTTAGTTTGATGGGGTGGGGGCAGGGAGACTCCCCTCACCCAAACTGGCAAAATCGGGTGCTCACTCTTATCCTGCACTTTGCTGTTCCTCCCCCGCTTTTCATGTGCAGTTTTGACTATTCTGAAGGGATTTCCAGGCTGCCAATTCTAAAAAACGTTAGAATCTTTTTAAAGACTCCCCCCGGTTTCCGCTAATGCCAAGCCCTTTCACCTTTAGCTTTCCTGGGGACACTGGGCCTACCTAGGCTTTATCCAGACAAATTGGGGAAGCCTGATGGGTTGAGTGCGGACCAAAATGAGTATACACATTTTCATATTTGTTAGACATCGTGACCTGCATTTCACCTTATTGCTCGACTTGTTCAGACAGGTCAAAGCCAACAAGTTATTGATGAACAGAAGCGTTAAATATTCACCTCCCGCTCAACTGCCCATACAAATGCGTTTGATCTCTGCCGCTTTTTGTGCTGTGTGCAGCTTCAAGGCGCCAGATTCGGGGTTGCAAGCAAGCGGCCTCGGGAGAGATAAGCACCCACAGCCAAGGGTGTCAGGAACGAGGTGGAGTGGGGAGGGCGACCAGAGGAAGTCTGGAGATTCCAGATTTTTATCACCGAGCCTGGAGTCAGGTTCACTTTGTGCAGGCCTGGTTCATAGAGGAGGCTACAAGCTGGGGAATCTCAGCCTCACCAGGGGCCCAGCAAAGAGATCTGGCCCTGAGCCCAGTCTCAGCTTCTCTGACCCTGAAGGGAAGACATCTCAGAGGAGAGGGAGGACGCCTGGCCCCTGTGGCTCTTGCAAACCCACTCTTCCATTAAAATCAAACCCCTTGGGTTTTTCAGTGAGTGAAAAGCCCCTGCTGTCTCCTCTATCAGCACCACCCCAATGAGAAGGTCCTCCTGAAGGTGTCACCAGCATCCTCAGATCCAAACTTCAGAGTCCCTGCCCCCGACCCCACCCAATTCCATAGAACTCTGGAGCAGAAATCCTTCAACTGCAGCTAAAGAGGCACAGAGGTGAAAGACAAAGCAAGCACTCATCTTGTTCAGCTGCTACCCCAAACCTAGAACTCACGCCGCCGGCTGGTGGAGCTGGTTCCAGGACAGAGACAGGAGTGTCCATGTAAGCTCAGAACGCACAGCCCTTCCTGGAAGAAGGCCAATTCAACAGACCCAAGGCCATCAAGGGTTACATGTTTGTTTCTGTTTGTAACAAATCAATTTTTGAAATTAAAGCGCATATATACATATGAGAGAGAGAGAGGGAGAGAGGGAGGGAGGGAGGGAGAGAGAGAGAGAGAGAGAGAGAGAGAGAGAGAGAGAGAGAGAGAGGTCAGACTGGGCAGGCTTAATTTAGGTTGGACTGTAGAAGGGGACCCCTGTGCTCACTGCACTTCGTTGAGAGGGTGGACCGCTAATTAGCTGCAAGTCCGCTGCACCTGTGCGAGCCTGCGAAGCCTAGGGAAGGCCTGGAAGGTCCAGGGAGGTCTGGGAAGACCAGGACGAGCCCCCGCGGTGCGTTCACTTGGGCAGGTGACTGTGAACTAGGCCCCAGAAAGGCTTCCTAAAGGCTCAACCTGGATCTTCCCCCCTCCCCCCGCGAGCTCTCTGGGCCATTCTGGCCTGGGGAGGCATCGCAACTACGCCACCCTCCTATCCCCCGCTGGCTCGGACCTTCGGACCTTCGACCAGGACCACCGTCTCCCTCAGCACTGCCCTTTCGTTACTGGGGGGAAAAATGAGAAGGTACTTACAGTGGCTCTCCCTGGTTCCCCCTTGAGCTCCGGAACCTGTTGCAATGAAAACAGGGTCACTCAAATTCCACAGGATAATAAAGCAGAAATAAATGACATGCAGAAAAGCAATGAGACCCAGGATTCTAATACCTACAACTCCTTGCTTTGGGTGACCGCCTTCGGGAACTGCTCAAAGTTCTCAGCGGACAGCATCCTCAAAGGCAGAGCCTGGGAATAGAAGAGTTCGTCCTGGTGACCTCCCCCACTTCACGCACCCTTGGGCAAAACCCTACTGTTTCTATGGTCTGACTCAGACTGCCCGAGGCAGGGTTTCCCCAGTGGGGAAATGGGAAGTCGGAGAAAATGGGCCTTTGTGCATCTCCTTCTGCTGCAGGCGGGTGGTGCAGGTCCACTCCTGAGTCTGCAGATATTCCTGACCCCAATTCCCCCGTCTGCTCCCTCTCCGAGCAGTTCGGTTCCCCTTTTCCAGTTTCAGGTTGCTTTCCAATTCCTCAGTCCCAAACAGTAACCCCCATCCTAGCCACCAAACCTGCCTCCTCATCAAAGAAGGAGCAGGCATGGCTGGGACATGCTTTTCCATGTCTCCAGTTCAAATCAGTCATCTCCTTCCAAGGGGAAATGAGGATCCAAGGGGTAAATTAAACTAGAAAGGAAAATCGGTATGGTTAAAGGTAACCGATCTAGACCTTAGAGGAAGGATCTAGCCTGTGATCTAATTCTATGGGTCTGACACTAATTTTCTAACTTGGCTGCAGGAAGACCTACAAACTGTTCATACACAGCAGTGGTTCCCCCGGCATTGATGTCCACCTTCAAGTTTTCAGTCCTCTAGGAAGAGCGAGCAACCCCCTCTGAGATGTCTCAGAGCTCACTGTCCCCACACTTGCCCCTCTCCCTCCCCACCCGTAACCATGGGTGTTTTGTTCTACTTTTGAAACAGTTGCTCCACGGCATTGAGGAGAGTGTGGGTCCTGCTTTGGGGTAGAACCCCTCCATCTCTAACTTCCCAAGTATACAGAGGAGGCCGGGTGGGGGTGGGGGAAGAATCCGAGATCCAAATTCTATTTATTAACTTGGGTTTAAGCTAAAATTAGAAAGAACTTCGATAGACTTTCCTCAGGCAGAGAAGGCCAGGCTCAGAAAACAACCTCCCCCCACGAGAGTTATTGTGGAAAAAGTACTAAGTGACTTACTGTTTTTCTTTTCTAGTGGGTAGGGTGGCTGGGAGTAGAGCTGTGTCCTCCTGAGCCTGGGCGCTGGCTGGAGCCTCTCACTTTCCTATCGCTGCTCCAGGAACGGAGCATCTGCACTTGTATGCTCTTAACCTAATTTATGGTGGGAATTATATTTTGGCTTGTCAACTCTCAAGCCATAAAACAAAGTTTATTGGAATCACGTGCTTGTAGATAGCCACTCAGGTCCCTTCTCTGCAGAACCATAAATAACCTCTGGCTTTAAACTTTTATTCACTAAATAAAGGTTCCCTGCAACTGTTCCCTTGGATTTAAATAGTTCCAAATATCCAGAATGCAAGAGAGGTCATAGTGATATCAATACCCCGGGCTTTTCAACTTGCATCTTTTCAGAGAAGGCTGTTTAAATTGGGGGATAGTGCTATTTGGAAAAGGCTGGTTGGTGGGCATGTCTTATGATTCTTTGGCTGCATTCGCTGTGAGTACCATGAACTCCTTTATTTCCATCATTTTCTAGCACTAGATGTGGTAAATAGCAAAGCCAGAGGCTGCTCCTTACTTGGTTATCACAAAAGTTGGAAATTATTTGAGATTTTGCTCAAGTTTCAGTAGAGAAAGAGTGGCTAGGGAGAGGCTGGGTGGCCTTGGGGGTGGAGGGGCAGCTGGGATTAACACTTAGTTTCCTCTGGATTGTTGTGGATGGAGCTGGGTGAAAGTGGAAAGGAGCCACATGCCCAGAGGTTTTTATAATTTGCTTAGATCTGAAAGAGAAGCCTTTGCAAGTGACCAAACTGCTTAAAACAGCAAGACTTGGGGTCTGGCGAAGTGAGAAAGTGGAGAAGAGCCCCATCGGACTCTGGCAAGTTAGGCTCTAAAGAAGGCTATAAAACAATAAAACAGCCCTGGTGTGAAGGGCCAGGGTGTGAGGAAGCACAGGAGGCTCTTAAAACAGCTGAGCCCAGGAAGTCAGACGTGCACAATCCCACCATGTGCCCAAGTCACTCAGTGCAGAGCTCAAGGGTCCCTGAAGGCCCTCATCTGAGTGGGCTCTTGGGTAGCTCCTCCCCACCGCTGCCTCCATCACAGGGAGGGAAGGAGAAAGAAAGAAATGTAAAACTATCTCTGTCTATCCTACTGAGCAATCCAGGAAAAGGGCTGGGCATGCCTCAGGAGAATGTGGCCATCTCTGCTCATGGGAGACAGGATTGGGAAATGGGGGAAATGGGGGGAATCCCCCAGCTCCCAGGAAAAGGCACACACACACACACACACACACACACACACACACACACACACACACACACGGGATGAGAACTAGGCCCTAGCACCCTTCAGTGGCCCTCCAGAGGTGCCACAAACCATGTGAAAGTGTGATTTTTTTTTTCTGCTCTGATAAAATAATGGATGTGCTGCATAGATGTGTAGAGCACACACACACATACATGATTTATAAATCAAATGGAATTACAACAGTTCCTATCAGAAATTTCCACAGCCTAGAGAAAAGATTCTTTGTATGAAGATCTCTTTGCATGCTAATTTCCAGCCATTATATGTGCATTTCCAAACCTGCTTCCTGAGTTGACTCTCATTAGCCAGAAAACAGGAGGTTGTTAATTCAGACACCAGGACATTCATTTCTTTTTCTTTTTAAAAATCCATCAGCTATGTGAGGAGACTGTTGTGTTTTGAATGTTTATTTATTATTTATTTATTTATTTATTTATTTATTTATTTATTTATTTATTTATTTATTTTTTACAACTTGTGGCATATTCTTAAAGTAATGGGTAGAGATAACCCTTCAAAAACTGGATTTTGGTGGCACCAGGTGAGCAGCTTTGAAATGAACCCTTGTTAATCACCTAGAAGAGATAATTAACATCAAGGCAGTCGAGGAAAGCTTTAATTTTTAGGTTAAAATTAATTAAAGGGTAGATGACTTTCCGGGTCTTTGCGTTGTAAGGAGCTGAGATGGGGTGAAAACAAGTCTTGAGAAACCGTGTGTGGACCCACAGGGCCTGGTATGCAGTTGGGGATCAGTAAAGACTTTTTTTTTTTTTTTTTGATGAAAGATGATGAAGGATGGTGACTGAGATGTGCTTGTAAACATCACTGTAGGTTACACATGAAGACACAGCCTCCTCTGGGTATTTAAGAGAATCACAGGAAAGGAGTCATGTAAGAAAATGGAAGGAAGGAAGAAATACATTGAGACAGACATCTTTGTTTTCTGATCTGAGAGCTCACAGGCAAAATGATTAAGGAGCCAGTGTGTGTCCTGCTCCACTCACCCTTTGTTATTCCACCCCACCTCCAGAGTCCTAGGATTTGTGAATGAAAGAGAGAGTGGGCATCAATGGGGAAAGCAGATCCTGTGTATCAACCAGCCTGTTTCAGGTTCCTTTGGGCTTCTCCACCCCACCCCCTGTAATTGAAGTCCCTAGGAGGAAAGTGCCCAAACTCTGAGCCCCATCCAACATCCCATCCCCCAAGGACTTTCAATGTTGGTAGTAGTGGTAATCAAACAGGAAGCGGGCAGAGAGGGTGACCCTCCTTTAAAATCTGTAAGGAAGCCAGGCAGTGGTTGGTGGCATATGCCTTTAATCCCAGCACTTGGGAAGCAGAGTCAGGCAGATCTCCAAGTTTGAGGCTAGCCTGGTCTACAAAGTGAGAGTTCTGGGACAGCCAGGACTACACAGAGAAGCCCTGGCTTGGAAAACAAACAAACAAACAAAATCTGAAACTAGCACCCTGGGTATTGCCTTTCCTCAGAGCCAATTCTGAGAATTTCTGCCTGGTGGGCTTCTATGATAAAGTGTGCCCTGTAAGGTTTCTCCAACCCAGATGTCAGAGCTGCTCCCAGGAAGGTGAGAGGGAAGGGGTTCCAGAAGACAGCATCAGGTATCGCAAGTATAATGCAGGTCAACTTCAGCACACTCGAAGGAAAATTCTGCTGATGTCTCCTAGGAGGCCTCTTGCCTAGCAAAGATGTTGAACTCTCAAGTTAAATGTTTGCAGGACAAGCGGGGACAGATGAGGGGAGGCTTTGGGTGAATTCCCTGGCCAAAGACACACGGTACAAGGAGTCTGCCCAGGATTTGTGCTTAAGGACAGAGGCTAGGGTTAGAGCCAGAGAAGAAATGAACAGGGCCTCCTAAGCAAGTGAGAAATGTGATTCTGTCCTCCTGGCTGCTGAAGTCTCTCTCTCTCTCTCTTTCACAATGGAGCTACTTAGCTAGTTTAAGTAAGGAAGAGACAATCCCAAAGGAAAAGGCCCTCAGTAGG